TTTCTTGGCATGAGATTTGGACAGTCTCTCTTTTATTGCCATGTCCTTCTCTTTTATGGACCACATTTCCTGAAATTAAGACAGAGCATTGCCATCACCCGTAGCCATCTTTCCTCTCGCTTTTGATGCCTTAACACCAGGAGGCCGGTTAGTGGTTTGAACTTCCTCTGGCTCTGCCTAAGAGCTTGATGATTGTGCTCCATCTTCACACCTTCTCCTTTTACAGCTTCCATCCGTTTTAAAACTAGCTAGCTTTCACCATTTCTGGTCATTACGCAGCTCCTTCCAAGCGTGGTCCAATGTGAACTTATTCTTATGGTCATTGCAGAATATCTCGTGAGCTAGTTTGAGAACATCATTCTCGTTTTGACCACTTGATTTCTTCCTTGTTTCAGCCTCGTAGGATCCAGAGAACTTGCATACAACGTCATTGATCTTCTGCCACTGCTGCTTACACTGAATAGGCTCAGGCTCTCGGTTTTCTTTTTCTGCAGCCTTCGGACTTGCAGCAAAATAGTCTGAATGTTTCCAAAAGGCCCCTAACTTCTGCTCGTTGCTATAATCGGATCTTTGGAGGTGTTGAGCCAGGAGCTGATGAGCAATACATCATCACTTGGCGTCCATTTCCTTCTTTACCTTCTCTCTGTAGGCTTGTCTTTAATGAAGCTTGGATCTTCAGGGTTTGCTTGAGAACTGAAGACTGGAGGTTGTGATGATCCAAGTGCGACACAAAGAAATATCGAGCCACTCTCTTGTTGACTGTTCAACAGTTCAACAAAATGAGAGGACTGACTATATGGATACGAAGACATTTCCAGAAAGACAAAGAAGAGAGAAAGAAGATGAAAAGAAATAACTTGTGTTTAATAAGAAGAACAATGAGAAGAAGGAAGTTGAAAGGAGATGAAAAGAAAGAACTCGTGTTTAACAAGAAGAACAATGAAAAGAAGGAAGTTGAAAGGAAATGAAAAGAAATAGACAAAAGAACTTGTGTTTCTATAAAAGAGAACAAAGGAAGAAAATAAGGAAAGAAAGAGAATGCATTTAACACAGATAGACATCGACTTGATAATCATTCATCACAACCAGAATCTATCTCTAACCAGCAAAACCAATTACTACCTAAACCCTATAAACTAACCATTATGCATTTATTACCACCTAACAATATTTGGTTCACACAACTTAACTTATACTAATCGATACAAAGCAACATAGTTTATTGGAATATATGCAATTACGAACAGTCCTTTTATCACTAACACTAACTTGAACAGCTTACAAAGCGCATGACAGTAGTTTGAGCTGTTTTTACATCACGAACACTCCCATTGTAAGAGGAAAACATCAGAACCTACAACCATACCATGAAACAAACATTAGAAACATCAGAAACATAGAATTTCTAACAAGCATCGAGACATGAAAAACCCAAATCAAACAAGCATTGAAACATATAATTTCTAACAAGCATCAAGACATATCATTTCAAACAAGCATCGAAGCATATCATATCTAACAATCAGACAGGCATCGAAACCAATCAAACAATTCATATCAAACTAGATTCAGTAATTTTATGTTAAAATGTTTAACTGAACTTTATTATGTATTTTTAATCTTAATCTATTTACATATTAATACCGATCTTTTGTGCAATTCTAAATTACAAAAATGAATCCTACAGTCCTAAATCAATATAATTTAATTAACTAATAAACAATAATATAATTATTTGAGTAAATGAGAAGATATAATATTTTAATGTTCAGTGTCTGGTGCAACAATATTCACAAAACACCAAAACAAATTTGGTGTTAGATTTGGTGTATTATTGGAGAATAATCAACACCAAATTTGGTGTTTTGGTGCATGGTTGGAGATGGCCTAAGCGACTAAGTTAAAGAATACAAAGTTAAACAAAATCATTATGGCTTGTAACATCGCTATTATAGTCCCCATGGCTTGTAATTTATAGTTGCCCTCTGATCCGCAATTTTGTTTTTTTTTTTTTAATTTAAGCGGCATAATTGTTTGTATATATATCTCTAGTCCTCAAAGTTATTATAGAATAATTAGTGAACTTGTCCACACTTTGCGTGGGTTGATATAATTTTCCAATTATTGTTTGAAAATCTAATATAGTAGTTTGAAGTCGTTTGTTTTTATAATTTATTTTCTATTATTGAGTATATTTGTTTATTAGATTTCCTTACATTTTAATGTTTGAATACATAATCGTGAAAACAGTATAGAAAAATTTAGTTCAAATAATTTAGTTTAAATAGTTTAAAATCTTTTGATCACTGTTCTATGTAATTAAGACATAGTTTTTTGAGGTACCGGTACGAAATCATTTGAAGAATAAGGAAAGTTAAACAATTTAGGAAAGGTGAGAGAGAATTAGAGAGAAATCATGTACATATTATACTAAAACATTTGAAGTCGAATACATTAATCTAGACATCACCAATACCATTATTCCATTAGACATTCTATTTATTGATTTTTAATTTTTTGTTAAATTTTTACTAAATTTTGGTTTTATAAAATTTTAGAAACAGTTTGATTTGACAGTGAAATAAAGCATTAAACTATAATAATTTAGAACGGTTTGTTTTAAGTTACTTTTAACACATCATCAGATAAGAACCAATAAAAAAATGACACATAGTCGGTAAATAGGGTAAACATGTATTTTTGTAGTCGAATCTCATTTTGGACCTGACACGTTAGCGAAACACTATAAAAGTCGTTGTGAGCTCGGCACGTAAGCAAATCACTACAAAAATAAGTATATAGATCAAACTTATTAAGAGATTCGACTACAAAAATCACTACACGTAATGCCGCTATTGTGTTATAAATTATAACTAATGTCCTAATTTTGTTTCCTAATCATGGAAAATATTAAGAGAATGTTATCTACTATATGATTGCTGTATGTGTTAGTTAAAGATAGCCCCAGAGACATAAACTTGAAGAAAATCTCCCTAAAATTATTTACCAATAAGGTTAAATTTTAGAACAAGTTTCAATGTGAAATCTTGATAAGTTTTTAATTACTAAAACCAAATTAGGGTGTTATCATAAAAATAAAAATAAAGAATAAAAACAAATTAAATAATTCTAAAAATATTTTTAATTCTATATAAGCAATATTATTTTATCTGATATATATATTTAAATGAAGAAATGATTGAATATATTTTAATTGTATTTATGTTAGAAGATAAATTAATTATTCTTAATTTTTAAAAAAATCTACTTTGTTATAAAATACAGATAAGAAGTCATTAGAAAATCAAAAATAAGAATAATATTCAGTATTCCAAAGTACGAAAAGGAAAATAAAACTTATGAAAAAGGAAAAGAATCATGAAATCATGAAATATGGAAGCAGACTAAAATTAAATAATATGGGCATAAATAAGTTTTGTTAAGTTATTGGTCGAAAATTATACTTCTATATAGGTGTTCATCTTTTTATGTATTAAATCTCAATCTCTTATTGTTGTTTTTCGATATAGATTCAAATTTGTGAAGATATTTTGATGTGATAATTGATTTTTTTACACGTAAATATTTATATATGTATTGTAGTATTGTCTTCAATTTCATCATTTTGATAATAGCTATGGTTTCTTATAAATTTTGAACTTATAAACATGTATATTTTAATAGACAAAGTAATATTCTATTAAAAAAATATTTTGTTATGATAACTATGTTTATTAATCATTATTTTTAATAAGATATTTGCTTAAATTCTTAAATACAATATTATTCGAAATAAATTTTTAGAAGATTGTAGGCGAAAACCAGATATCTTTATAAATTAATAATTATTAATTTATAGATAAATTTAATTAACGATAAATTAATAAAATTTCATAGTCCCAACATTATTAATTTATAGAGGTTTTACTGTATATTGTAAACCCTTTAAGAAACAATTATCATTAGTTGTCAGCCTATCACAAACAAGAAGAAAAGAAACAACTCTACTTAATTGTAAACCCTATTTAAGAAAAGAATAATATTGGACCCCCAGTATTCTGTATTCTTAAAAAAAAACAATTATTGTTATAAACAAATGGACTTCTAGTAACCGGCCCATTAACCATCAGGTTAATGTCTCATGGCCCATTAGAGTTTCTGATATATTAGTTATGTAATGTATATATACACTGCTTATGGAAACAATAAGATAAGAGTTTTTCCCTTAATACGTTATCAGCACGAAGCTCAACTTCAAACGATCATATCTCTCAAAATACAAGGAGTTAGAAGGCGATCTACATATCATTTTGAAGCCCTGGAAGAGAAGAATCTAGTGGTGAAAACCGCTCCTCAATCCGACACCAGACGCGCCTTCAAGACTCAAAAGAATCGGCGCTGTCCCACCTTAGCGGGTGATTCTTTCCAAGCGGTGGTTCCTCCATTGTAGCAACTGTTCGTCCTCCCTTCTGGTCATCATTCTCAGGAGTTTCCAGTAGATATCTGTGGTCTTTAGCTCCCAGATCATAAGCCGGTCAGAAATCCATTTGGCGAAAAGGTATTATCTAAAACTATAGATCCTAATCAAAGTTTTGGTTTTTTTTTGAAAACCCTAATATAGATCGGTTCTTCTTCTCTAAACCCTAATATAGATAAAACCATAACCAAACCGATCCTCTTTCTTCTTGTCTAAACCCTAATTGGTTTTATTTTTCCTAATCGGCTTTATCATATAAAACCTAAACCCTAATGATTTGTTCAAACCCTATACCGATCGGTCCTAGCATCATCTAAACCAAACACTAAAATTCCTTGCAAACCAAAACCTAAATCTTTGCAAAACCCTAGATCTAAAATCGTTTTGGTTTGTCTATCGTTAAACCGAGATCGATCGGTTTAAATCCTAAACCGATCGGTTATTTATCTTAGATCCGATCCTTGAAAACCCTAAAACCAGTCCATGCAAGCTCCTAAATCCTAAACCAATCGACCCCTTAAACTCTAAACCAATCGATCCACCTAAACCGTTTATAAACCGATAAATTCTAATCCTAAATCGATAGGGTTTAAGTTTAAACCGATCGGTTTTTCCTAATAAAAATTAAACCCTAGCAAATCCGTTTAGTTTAATCCCTTAACCGATTAATAACCCTAATAACCGGTTTCCAAAATTAAATCTAATTTAACCGGTTTTGTTGTTTAATCGATCAATCCGATCGGTTTAAGCTTAATCGGTTAATTTCAAATTAGTTTCCAAAATCAATCTAAAAAAAAAAAAATTAATTTCAAATTAGTTTATCTATTAGAGCTAAATTTGGAAACCCTAGTAAACCGGCTAGGTTATAAACCCTAAGGTTCGATTTTAGAGTTCCCTTATATAGCAAGTTTCCTAAAATAGCAAGTTTCCTGAAATGGAAAGTTTTCCCAAGAATACCTTAAATCCCTTATTCCAATGACCATAGTCTCATACTATTGATTATTTAACATAAATTATTATATGTTTCAGATGTCAAACATTCAGAAGGTCGAATATGAGGCACTCACTGTCTCCGGAGATAACTACCTCAAATGGGCCCTTGACACCAAGATCTACCTCAACTCAAAATGTCTGGGTGAATGCATCAAAGATCCCAACACCGCGACTCAAACAGAACGGTACTCGGCGATATTTATTATCCGCCATCACCTCGCTGAGTCTCTCAAGCAACAATACCTCACTCTTGAGGATCCACTCGAACTTTGGGTGGCACTGAAAAAGCGATATGACCATCAGAAAACGGTCATACTGCCCCAAGCCAAGTTCGACTGGAAG